ATAGTATAAATTCATGTTAGACATATAATGTAATTTATGTTACGCATATAGTATAAATTTATGTTACACATAGAATACAAGTTATGTTCCACATAGAATATAAATTTATGTTACACATAGAATACAAATTTATGCTACACATAAAATACAAATTTATGTTACACATATAATACAAAGTTATGTTACACAGAATAGAAGTTATGTTACACATATAATACACATTTATGTTACACATATAAATTTACGTTACACATATAAATTTATGTTACACATATAATACAAATTTGTGTTACACTTAGAATACTCTAATTTAATGAAGTAATTCCTGATAATGCTTTTTTGTGTTAGTCATGAATTTGAAGCATATATTTTCTAAGATCTGCTACCAATTAATTGTCAAAACATCCAATTTGTATTGTACATTATGATAAACATATTGCGGTGAGATTAAAAGAGGATGGGGGTAAACGTTATGCATAATATGATGTTTCTATAAAAGCATCCAGCATGAATTTTTCAAAGTTTCTTTGCATCACAAACCTTCAAAAAGAAAAGAAGACAAAGAAAAGCTGAAATTGTTCTGTTGTCTTCACATTTAACATTTTTGCTCTTAAAATTATTCCACTTTTTAATTTGAACGCATTTATTTTAAGTGAAGCATAACTGAATGGAAATACTGGAATTTCATTGTTTCATTTCGGGTGGAAAGAGAATTAATGTTCTTGTTTAAGCTTCGGTCCACAAATGAAAGTCAGGCTGAGACACTGGAATATATGAAAAAGAGAAAGCATATATGTTTATATATTTAACTCTCTACTATCTATCTATCTATCTATCTATCTATCTATCTATTTCATTATATTCATATCTATCTATTTATCTATCTCATTCTGACAACAACTATCTCATTCTGTTCATTTCTGTCTATCTATCCCCGTCTATTCATCTCTCTCTCTCTCTCTATATATATATATATATATATATATATATATATATATATATATATATATATATATATATATATATATATTAGCATGGCCCGGCGTTACCCGTGCCTGATTCAAAATTTACATGCATATGCTCCAAGTTAGTGGGAAGGCCAAGACCGACTTTACATTTCCCAACTCCCATCGATAGTGGAAATAATCGATTTTTTCATGCTTCTACGGCAGTTTTCAGGTAGTTTGCGACCATTTTGTACTGCCCAGAGTGAGAGCCAATAGCTGGCTGCCACGAATAGGCAGGAAGATTCTATTATCCAGCGTGAGAGCCAAGCCAACAGCTGATTGACACGAATGTTAACTAGCATACTAGCATGCAAAAAGAATCGATAGCTGCATTCATCACAAGTGGGAAAAATTTACATCTGCATGGCACTTTACTCCAATTGGCTCATTCGCTTGCTTAAACTCAACGTTCCGTAGAACTGGGTTGGGTATGAAAATGTATTTGTTGTTAAAATTCTACTTTCCTTCGATTTTTGCAGTTACGAGTTAAAGTTGATCGTTTTGTGTTCATTTTGTTTAGTTCTATTTTGGTAACAGATTTAATGTTTTGTATAGAGCTTAGAAAAAATTCGCAGTGTGAGATAGGCAAGAAGTAAGGCATGTAGCAACATCGGCACAGCAAAGGGCACTCATTTAAAGGCAAGGAAGGGCAAAAATATTTTAAGTCAAGTGATAGCGATTGCTGTATGAGTCGTACGATTCTTGAATCAAGCACAGGCAACATGGCCATGCTGCTAGTACATATATATATATATATATATATATATATATATATATATATATATATAATGAATGTACAATAAATAGAATATCTAAATTAACAGATTAAAAATTATTACTTTGTTTATAATGAGAGATGCGCATTTCTAAAATAGTGTAACTGAGCATTGCTTTTGCTGTGGTGGCTTCTTGTAGCTTGGTTGTAAAAGGGAATACAAATTCAGTTCCTGTTGGAGACACATTTCCTTCTTTTTCCTTTAATTATTTTGTCCTCAGCAAGACAATAAAGCTATTAAAATGAGTGAGAATGAATATGACAAAAAAGATAACATTATTAAGGGGAGAGTACAATAAAAGAACAGGAATTAAGAAGACAAAAGGTCACCATTGGCATTAAAATTTAATTTAATTTTTTGAAAATATTTCTCACATCCTCTCACTGTAAACTCTTGCGTCTTAGGGGCTTCATTGCCTTGTTTGAGGTGAAGGAGTGAAAGGATTAAAAATACATAGAATTCCAAAATGTATAATATTTTTGTTGGGGCACAAGGCTATTTTGATAGAGCATCAAATATTTTTAGAAAGATGTACATTTATAGTTGAATGGCCATTGTGTTTCTGCTTCACCTAAAATCTATTCATAGTGGAGAGGCACTGTATAAAATGTGTGGTGTGAATGCTTTTAGAATTCGTATTCCAAAAAGGCTGTGTTGGAGATTTCTTGACAAAATCTGACATTTCGAAGATCAAAGTTGACTAGAAGGCAAAAAGCCAGAAGAGTGTTCCTGTAATAAATTTAAGCTGTTTGATCAGGCATCGTCTGGCTTTCATAGAGAAAGCCGACACCTCTTTGGGCTGTTGATTAATTTTTTAATTTGAAAAATATTTTTGGTATATTTCAATTTGTGGGAAAACAGCTGCATTTGTTTGTCAGCCCAAACCAATAAAAGGGTTACACTCCAAATTCTGACAAGTGTATTTGAGCATACCTGTAGGCTATTTAAGTGGTTTGCTTGCTTGCTTGATGCGGCATTCACCCTGGGCGGATTGAGCCGGCTTCTTCCTGTCTTGAGAAGAAGATTCTTGGGATAAATTACAGAAGTAGGGTACCCAGCCCTACTCGGATAACGTTCTTGCTTGCCGCGGGGTTCCCACAGACGCAGAGACAGGAACGATCAGAAGTGGTTTGGATTTCATTGTTATATTAAGAGATAATTTTTAAGTTGATAATTTACATAGATTTTATTGGCCATTATTTGTCACAAAATGCACTAAATGCACTGTATTCATTTTTTTTGTGTGTGTGTGTGTTAACAATGATTCATAATTCCAATCTACATGATATGACGAAATATCATATCACCAAGCGTTTTCATCTCTGGGTATTTATCTGTTTCTTGCACTGAACTATTATACGAAATTTAAACTGCCTCAGTTTGTATTGTCTGCTTTTCCGAGAGAAAGCAGACGTTTTGTTGGGCTATTGCTTAATTTATGAATTCAAAAATTATTTTTTGTACATCCTGATTTGTGGGAAATCAGCGGCATGTTTTTTTCCATCCAGAACCAATCAAAAGGTTTCCTTCTAAATTCCAAGACGTGAATTCAGAGCCTACCTGTAGGTTTTTATAAAAAAGGCCTTCGAATTAATTGAAGGAGCCGACAAACTTCAGTTGCTGGAACCCAGGTCACCCTGGTTCAGAAAGAAAAAAAAACACAGACGAAATTTGACAACTAACAGAAGAGAATTGACAGGAACATAAAAGTCACTCCCACATTAAAGAAAAGTCCTCGACTGGTGTGATTGTTCTATTCTTCACTGCTACCGTAAACAACAGATTAATGAAGTTAATGATATAAATGGCGAGAATACATCTTCGCAAACAAATTTATTAAAATTACATTAACCCACGAACGACTAGATGAATTATCAGATGAAAGTACTAGCGAAAAAAGACCTTATAGAAGTTGAATTTATTAAAAACAGGGATTACAACATTCATCTAGAGGTTCGTGGGTTAATGTAATCTTAATCAATTTGTTTGCGAAGATGTATTCTCGCTATTTATATCATTAACGTCACTAATCTGTTTTTTGTATGAATGATTCATGTAATATAAATTGAACTGCACCACATATTTGAACCCGCTCTGTCCTACTTACCCATAGCTGGAGGGAGAAGAAGATGATTCATAGCACGTATGTGAATGTAATGGATTCAACTTGAATTTCGAACTCGGCTCTCCAATTCCTACTTCATAAATTTAAGATTAATGACAAGATATCATCATCTTACAGTTGAATTGGCTAGATGCAACCATTCTTAGTTCTATGCTAACAGTTTCTTTTCTCGCACTTCTCACCAGTGGAACTATTTTCCGGTTGCTTTTTTTCCCCCCGTCAACTTTCATTTTCAAAAATATAAACACAGTCACAATCGTTATGTTCTGTCTTCTTAATGATGTCTACTTTTCCTTACATTCTCTTATGCTCAGTAACCCCATCGATCTTAGTGGCTTTATTGCCTTGATTACGATGAAATGATAAAAAAAAAATTAGAATTCCAAAATGTGCATCTTTATATTATTTTTGTTTGGCACAAGGCTATTTTGATATAGCAGCAAATATAGTCTGAAAGATGTTCATTTTTGTAATCATTTCCCCCCAAGCAAGGCAATAGTGCCACTAAGATGCAATGGGTTTTTGAGGATGAAAGAAAATGAGAAAACTTTAGGAGAAGGAACCGGAACCCCAATACTAAACAGGAAACTAGAGTAATACCTCTTTTCCTGTTCAAAAAAATGGGGGAGGAGTGTGAACCGGGCGACAACGTAATACTCTATTCTTATTGGGACTTGAAATCTGCTATAGTGGTTTTTCGTTTTTTTTTTTAGTATTTTTTGTACTAAAGTTCAGCCAAAATCCACTCAAGGGTGAGGGGTAATAAATGCGGTGTGTGATATAAATGCTTTTTGAATTTGTGTTCCAAAAAGGTGGAGTTGGAAATTTCTTGGCCAAATGAGCAAATATCAGAATTTTTTTTTTTTTCTTTTTAGGATTCCTTTTGGTTGGACCAAGAACTTTTCATCACTCCCCACAACCCAAATTTATACCTAAACGTATCTAAGAAAAATTTTTATGCTCAGTGTGGCATAAAAATCACTGATCTGCTGATCCGAAATAAACAAACGGGACTTTTTATTTTATTTCTGTACTTTGCTTAACTTTTCAGCCAAACTAGTTTGAAAGTAAGTTTTTCGTAATTCCCAGAATTTATGTGGACCATAAATAAAGCCTTAATTCTGGAGTGTGTGTCAGGGAAATAACCGGAAAGAAAAACCCCTGTAGCTGGGATGTATTGGAACTGACTATCAAGGGAGATAGATAGATAGATAGATAGATAGATACTGAGACGGAAATGTAAAAGACAGGGAGACAGACAGGCATGCAAAAAGACAGACAGATAGAGACAAACTGATAGATAGATAGATAGATAGATAGATAGATAGATAGATAGATAGATAGATTAGAAAAAGTGCAGGTCAAACTGAGAGAGACAAATAAAGAGGAAGAGATAATGGACAGCTGAGAGAGACAAAATTTGATAAATTGAGAGTGAGAGAGAGAGAGAGAACAAGACCAAGGTTGAGAACTGGGAAGGTCCAGCAAGAAAGAAAGAGAGAGAGAGAGAGAGAGAGAGAGAGAGAGAGAGAGAGAGAGAGAATGAGGGAGAAGAATAAAGAGGCTTAGAAAGAAAGAAAACACTGATTGTCAAATGTGGAGGGACACTGAAAAAAAGAGAGAAAAAACGAGTCTGAGAGAGACAAATTTGATCATTTCCGAGAGAAAGAGAGAGAGAGAAAGAAAGAGTGAAAATAAATTCAAAGGTGAGAGCAAGAGACATTAAAGAAGGAAAAGAGAGAGAGACAGACAGACAGGCAGAAAACGAAAAGAAAGTTATACTAGGAAAGTCAAGAAAAAAAGAGAGAGAGCTAAAGGGAATCTGAGAAAGACAGAATCTGACAATATGAGAGAAAGTAAGGGAAAGAGAGAGCAAAAATAACTTCTATGGTGAGAATGGGTGACATCAAGCAAGTGAGAGAGATAGAAAGATACAGACGGAAAAAGAAAGAAAGGAAGAAAGAAAGAAAGAAAGAAAGACCGAGGTTTAAACTAAGAGAACCAAGGAAAAGAGAAAGACAGGTAATGTCCGAGAAAGAATTTGATAGTGAGTAAGAAAAAGTGTGAGCGGAGGTCCAGTGCTCAGTACAGGGTACATCAACGAAGAGAGTGAGAAATAGAGAAAGAGGGGGAGAAGAAGAGAGAAAGGGAGCCTAAGAATAAGTACGTCAGGAAGGGGAGACGGGAGAGAAAGAGCAAAAGAAGGAGAAAGGGAGACAAATAAAGTAGAGAATGAAGGAGTATAAGAGAGATAGACAAAGTCAGAGGCAGACTGAAGCTCATATCTGACGAAAAGAATAACGGTGGAGTAATGGATAGCGGCTCGGACTGAGGAATCGGAGAGCCGAGTTCGAATTTCAGTCGGATACTTTCACTTATGTGCTAATACCCTTGGGAAAGGTATAAATCCTCTTCTCTCCCAGCGTTTGGTAAATAGCAGGACAGACCGGGTTAGTCTAAAGAAAGGAATGGCAACCTACTGCGGGAAAAAAATCTGCCTCGTCATGTATCGAAAGATACATGATCGCCTAAGCGTGTATCACGCATGGCACATAACTGACTGAGTGAAAGAGAGCGAGAAGTTGAGACTTCAAGCAAGAGAAGGAAAAGGAGAAATATTTATATATATATATATATATATATATATAGAGAGAGAGAGAGAGAGAGAGAGAGAGAGAGAATCAAAGAATGAAATATATGTGAGTGGGAGCCTGAGGAGAGAGTGAAAGAGAAAGAAAAACAAATCTAAAGAGAGACTAAGAAAGAATTAACGGTTGAGAGAGACAGAGAGAGAGAGATTAAAATGACAAGTAGACTCGACCATGTCTTTTCAGCCTGTCTGCACAATTATACCGTAAAAAAGTTTGATAAAAAAAAAACAACTTTCTTGCTTATCAGATGTGATGATGGGCTGAGGAGGTGTGGCTGTAATGGGTGACAGGCAAAGGAATAAGTTACATTGTAAAGCTAGGTTTTTATTATGCAAACACTTGGTCGAATCTCTCCCCCCACCACACCTCTCGCAGACAGAAACGTATTTTTTATCAGATTTCGTCATGGATGACTGATTTTTAGTACTTATCACTTTAACTGACGTTTTTGCCTGTGTCAGATCCAAATCCTTCTATTAACATAGTATTATGGTGCGGTAGGCTGGTTGGTGTCCATAGCTGAGGCTCTGGTCAATTCAATACAAAAATCGATAGGAGGAAGGGGGGAGGGATGAAAAGACAGAGAACTAGAAAGAAAGAAAGAAAGAAAGAAAGAAAGAAAGTAAGAACAGTAGAAGAAAGACATAAAAGGTAAAGAAATAACAATAAAAGGTGAAAGAAGGAAAAACAGAAGGAACTAAAAAAGGTGAAAGAATGAAAGAAACATTCTTAAAAAGAAAAAAAAGAGTGCAAGAAAGAAAAAGAAAACAAAAATGGTGAAAGAAAGGCATTAAAAATGAAAAAGGTTGAAAGACGCAAAGAAATGTGGGCGAAAGAAAGCGAAAGAAAGAAAGAAATAGCGTGAAAGATGGTGAAAATAAATAAAGAAAGAATAAAAGAAAGAAGACGTGATACGTGGAAGAAAGAAAGAAAGAAAGAAAGAAAGAAAGAAAGAAAAGGACCAAAGAAAGAAAAAGAGTGAAAGAAAGAAAAAAGAAAGAAAATGAAAAAGAAATGTGGGAGAAAAATTGAAAGAAAGAGAGAGTGGGAAAAAATCATTGGACACATGAAAATGAACAAAGAATAAAAAAAAGAAAGAAAAAGAAAAGATACGTGGGAGAACGAAAGAAAGAAAGAAAGAAAGAAAGAAAGAAAGAAAGAAAGAAAGAAAGAAAGAAAAAGGAAAATAAATGTGGGTGAAAGAAAAAAAGAAAGGAAGAAGTCATTGGACAGAAGAAAAGAAAGAAAGAAAGATGGTGAAAAGAAATAAATAAAGAACGAATAAAAGAAAGGAAGAAAAAGAAAACATACGTGGGCGAAAGAAAGAAAGAAAGAAAGAAAGAAAGAAAGAAAGAAAGAAAGAAAGAAAGAAAAAGGAAAATAAATGTGGGTGAAAGAAAGAAAGAAAGAAAGAAAGAAAGAAAGAAAGAAGTCATTGGACAGAAGAAAATAAAGCGCGAAAGATGGTGAAAAGAAATAAATAAAGAACAAATAAAAGAAAGAAAGAAAAAGAAAAGATACGTGGGCGAAAGAAAGAAAGAAAGAAACGAAAAAGAAAGAAAACGAAAGAAAATGTGAGAAGAAAACGTTAGAATACACAAAGAAAGATAGAATGAATGAAAGAAGTGGTGAAAAAAGAAAGTGTGAGAAAAGTGTGAGAATGAAATAAAAAGTGTGAAACTGAAGGAAAGAAATGAAATCAATGAATGGGGGAAAAAAACAAAGGATGGAAGAAAGGTAGGTGAAGAAAGAAAAAAAGGAAATGGGTGAAGAAAATGAAAGAAAATAATTAAAAAGAAAGAAAAGTCGGAGAAAGAGAGAGTGTAATGAAAAGTGTGTTGGGGAGAAAGAAATTTAATGCGTGAAGTGATGATAGTTGACAAAAGTCCGATATGACAGCTATCAAACCGAAAATGTCACGAAAGAATCACCATTCCTACCTTAAACACAATCGAATAAACCCCCAAAATAATAATTAATATTCTTCCCAGAAATCAGAAAGAAATAGTTCAGACCGTACAAAACTTACATGAAAAAAATTTGAATCAAAACTTTGTGCCCAAATACAGCCAATATAAACACACACAGAGATAAATATACAGGGTGATTGATGAGTAACTTCTTATTTTATGTATGAGTGGCAAGTCAGGAGTGTTGGCATAACACCCTGACACTTTCCTCTTCGGGATTAATTAAAGGAGCAAATCTACTATACAAAACAAAGACTTTGGAAGGACTTGAGGGGAGAATACAAGAAGTTATGTCTTTCATACCACAAGAGTTCCAGGTGAAATCAGTTGACGCGATTCCTGGGTTGATTCTGAAGCTGGTAGCGAAATCTGGTGCTCGTATCGAATTTAATATATAACCTCATGCTAAACACTTTCCTCTCATATCCATTTTATTTTTAAATTAAAGTTAATAAACAAAGTATAAGTATTTTGAAATGGGGAGTTATTTTTCAATCATACTATATATATATATATATATATATATATATATATATATATATATATATATAGTCATCTACAAGTGTGGCTAGAAATCTGATTGCTTCAAACCGGGATTGAAACTTGACCGATTTGGCATCAGTTAGAGATTATACCCCTAAACTATCGGGAAATTTTAAAGTATTACAAATATAAAACTCCTGACGTGAAACGGAAAATTTAAAAAATATTAAGAACATGTAGATCTTTATATGAAACCTGTTTTCTGTGTTTACAAGAAAAACTGAAAATGATCAGAGTTTTTGATAAAAAAACTCTTATTAAACCAAAGAAGTGAATTAATAGTAAATTGTAGACATAGTCTAACTTTTACCTTGCAATTTGGTTAAACTTTGGGATTAGATAATGCTATTTATTATATTTTTAGTAGACAAACCGCGATACGCCTAATACGGCTTATTTTTCTATATGTAAGATAAATTTAGATTTAATATAGTTCTGTATTAATTTGTTAGTATTATTAGTATCTTATATGGATGTACTGGAATTTATTTTTTTTAACATCTTTCATTGATTGGTTGATATTAGTAACATCTTATATGGATGCTCTTTACTTAAGAGTAATATTAATTTGCCAAATAATTCTATTGGTTTAAATTGTTTACTAGTTGCTTAAAAAGGCCTCTTATTCATCAACTATAAACATCTTATGTGGGAAACTCACAAAGCATATAACTCGTTAGTATCAGGTTAAATTACCACCTTACCTCCTCCTCTTTTATTTCTTGGGAAAGTTGATTGATTTGTATACACTTTACGAATGTCTGCGATCTGTTTGTAGACAACTTCTTGTCATGACCCATTTCTAAAAAAATGACTTTTTCACTTAGTTTGAATTTAAAGTAGATCATTTCTGATTGATTGAGCAAGGTAAATCCTTCAAGCCTATTTTTTCCGGAAAATATGAGGTATTTTGCTTTTGAAATTAAATTAATAGTTCACCCGCTAGTAATTTAAAATCTCCCGAGGAGACACATCGAAACACGATTGCATTTGTGTAGCGATTTTTAACATAGTTTTGATTTAATATCCCAAAGTAAAATAATATTTTTCCTCAACTCTGTATTGAACCCTCTTTAAAATTAAATATTACTTACGTTGGGATTATACACCATTCGCTCACATATTGCTTGGATATATATATATATATATATATATATATATATATATATATATATATATATATATATATATAGCAAATATATGCATATAGATTCGATAGTATGAAGAAAAAAAGATTAATGCTCGACAAACGTACATATAAGTTTTAGATTAAAATAAAATTCTTTTCATTTTTCATTCAAAATACTCTATTTTAGGAATACGTTTTCACAACATCGCCCACGTGACGCCAACGTGATCATATTGAAACGGAACGCTGATCTTGAAATATTTCTGTTATCTATTTTGATTAGTCTTACCCTTATGTCCATCGTCTTTTCATGTTGAATTAAATATAGTCTAATGTTAATTATGTTTCATGAATATGTCCTGAAGACGGTCTACTAGACCGAAACGTCCGACGTTGACATTATATTAACATTAAAACAGCATTATTGCATATTAGGATTTTTTGCTTGTTTTTCCGTATATTTTTTTTTATATATATATATATATATATATATATATATATATATATATATATATATATATATACTGAGAACATTCATATTTCTCTCACTTAAACCGTCTTTGACTTCCCTCTTTAAAACTTCTCTCTGTTAAATTTGAATCCCCCACCTTCATCTTTAAACTTTACTTCCCTTCCTCTGTTCTTCTCTCATCTGTTCCCCCTCCCTATAGCTTTCATTTACTCTAACATTCATCTCACACTCTCATACATACACTCTCTCTAAATTTTATTTTTTATTCCCGGAGTTCTTTTTCTGTTTTCTTTTTGAATTTGTAGGTCTGATGATTTGGATCGTATTTACGATTCCAATGGAATAAATTATGACCATGGAATATTAGTGTTTAAGCCTTTTTATTATATCTTTACACTGTCTTGAACATTGAGTTCCACCTGAATTCTATCCTCTTGGAATTATTTTTTTTATACAAATATATATGTGCGTGTATGTATGTATGCATATATATTTATATATATTTTATATATATTTATATATATTGTGTCTATTTACCACTAATATTATCTATATATATCTATATGATTAAAAAAAAGAAACAAATTGATTCATATTGTCTTTTTACAGATATATATTTAGATATAACTAAAAGTTCCACACACACACATATATGTAATTCTATAACTTGAAACGTTGTTATAGCGGACACTTTTTATTTGAAAAAGAAGCCCCATTCTTTATTTTAATTTATTAAATAATGTGTAATACATCTATCGGCCTGCGCTTTCGAGAAATCTAAATAAGGGAAATGTGTCCTCCGGCTGGGATCGAATCTGGATCCCCTCTGTGGGCGAAACTACCATTTGATAACATTGATATATATATATATATATATGTGTGTGTGTGTGTGTGTGTGTGTGTGTGTGTGTGTGTGTGTGTGTGTGTGTGTGTGTGTGCAAATATATAGAAAAAATAGGAAAGAATCTTTAGGTTAATAATCCAAAATTTTTTAGTAGTTTTGCTTTTTGCTTTTGCTTTTTAAAAAACAGTGCTCAATACACATGTAGAGTAGGAATCATATAAAAATAAAATAATTATAATATATATATATATATATATATATATATATATATATATATATATATATATATATATATGTGTGTGTGTGTGTGTGTATGTGTGTGTGTTTAGCAGAAGATGGTCATGAAATCAATGTGTGGGTTACTTCCTGGCAAGTTGTGGTCCACCATAAACAAATCCACGCCATCGCCAATTTCTTCTGCTCTGATTTCCTTTCACCTTCAACCATCTCTTCCCAGGCTTTCGGCCGCAAAAGCTTCGTTCAATCTTGGACATCAAACGGAATTCCTATGTGCCCAACACCAAATTCTGGAAAGACCCAACAGTCAAAGCATCGGATTGTTGATCATTAAACACGGTCTTCGATTATTAGGACATGTAGCAGGAATGAAAGATTCAAGGTTGCCAAGTCTTATTCATATCAGGGAGAAGAAGACGGGGTTGACGTCTTCGAAGAGACAAGGATTAACTTAAAATCACGCTGAAGACACTGGACTTGATCCTAAAATGTTTGAAACACAAGCACAAGAGCGTACCATTTGGCGATGTTCCAAAAATTCCAAGCAACCAGGAGAGAAAAGAATGAAGTCTAAGGACAAGAGAAAAAGTTTCGACAAAATCGACTTTTTACACCATCAACATTACTATTCAGTCAATGCCATCATCATAAAGGAAGCGATCAGAAAAGAAGATATTAAAAGATATAGTCAACAGCGACGATATATATATATATATATATATATATATATATATATATATATATATATATGTGCAATTACAAAAAAAATCACAACTTTCAATTACATTAATACAATTATTACCCCCAAAGATTATCTTGGAAAAAAAAAAGAATACAGCGCCTTCCTTAATGAATTTAATATTAACATTAAGATGTTGATTCGAGAATTAGACTGAGATGATTAAAAAAAAAATGAATAGACATAATATATCCAGATTATTCATGCTTAAATAATGCTACTTATATATATATATATATATATATATATATATATATATATATATATATATATATATGATTATAATTATTTACCGCTGCCCCACGCAGCAAGATGTGGCACAAGGCCGAGTTTAGTGGGGTATCTGAGCCCGGAGGCTCGTGCAAATATTCCCTATAGACCACGTAAAAACGGAGTCAGGTTCCTGAGACGAGACTCTGCCCAAAGGGCATAGCCTCGTCTGGTGGGTACCCTCTGACATAAGACATCTATATATATATATATATATATATATATATATATA